AGGTTGGTACTACGATGGACCATTTATGGCGATTGTTTCTTTTTGTTTGCTGGCTGGCTTTCCGCTCATTGCACCGACTTCCAATACCTTCCATACAAGGCAAAGAAGTGCAGAGACAATCCTTCAGGACATGAAGTGCAGAGACAATCCTTCAGGACATCCTTTCTCTTTTTTAATCAGCAGTGGTTATGGGAAGTCATCAAATGCAGCCACTTAGTTCCTACACTGCTCTCAGTACGGGGAGCAGAACCCAGGCTCCTAACACCTGGTTGCGGCTGGGAGGAGGACCACCTGACCCCAATCAAGCCAGGAAGGGCAAGCCAACTATCTCAGCCGGTGAACCTGCAGTGCGCCGCAGGAGGCCGTGGAGGCTCCAATGGAACACGTGGGGCTTTTTTTTTTGTTTTGTTTCAAAGGCCCATGATGTCCTCTTTGTACAGAACAAATGGAATGAAGACCTGAAATTTCGGTCTCTGCAGAAAGTGCAGCAAGCATTTGAATTCAACAGAGTCAAGACCTGTTTCGCGGCCAGTTCTGTCATCCTTTTAAATGGCGTTCTTCCCCTCCAGCTAATGGAGCAGAGATACACTGTGTGCTCTCTCTCTGTGCAGAAGAAATGAAATGAAATGAAGGCCTGGCATTTACGATGGTCAGGGGGGTTATAATCCCTCCCCTCAGGCACCTCCCCTCAAGCAAATCGGTGAGGCTTCCTCCAACACATTGTACTTACACACCCTCCGCGTAAAGCTTAAAGTGCTGAAGTAAGGATTCCATGGATTGTTTAAAATTTGAGAGCGTGGAGGACAAAGTTTACGATCATCCGCTTTAATCATGCCACTAGGCATTTGATTCAAGCATCGGACAATGATCGAAAACTTTGTCGCATTTCTTCAATGTGGAACTTCGTCTTATGAAACCCGTTCGAAAAATGCAAACCAAAAAAACACAAACATGATACGGGAGCGAAGCTATATGAAAAACAGTTGCTGGAAAGGAAAACCACTCAAACTTAACGAGTTCTCCCTCCCTCTCTTTCTGCAATCTGTTCTATCTCTCCGTGAGACCACGTCACGAGCTCACGGGAGAGACATCATACTACCCTTTCTGTAGTAGAGTGAGTGGAACAAAGACCTGATGTTTACACACACCCAAGGCAACGGTCAACCACTCGCAAGCCTGGTTTTTTTAATTCAGGAAGGTTAAAAAAAAAAAGATGGATTACTTAAATTATACTTGACAAAAAGTGAGCCCTGTTGGTTCTTCTCTTACTCCCCCCGTACAGGACATATGCACCACGGTTTCCGAAAAAGTACTCACCCCCTGAACAGCATGATCTTGACCACAAAAAAACTGCGAAGTCACCCCACTCCCCACCCCCCAGCCCCCCAATTCATAGATCGCCAGATCAACCAAATACCTATGGACCATGCCCCTCCAAACGGAGTCTACATGAAATACAGCCTATGCCCTCCCTTTTCGAAACGCGTCTGCACGACACAACCTGTGCTCTCCTTTTTCAAAACGTGTCTGCACGATACAGCCTGTGCCCTCCTTTTTCAAAAAGTGTCTACATGAAATAAAACCTGTGCGCTCCTTTTTCAAAACGCGTCTGCACGATACAACCTGTGCCATCCTTTTGCAAAAAGTGTGTCTGCATGGTACACAACCTGTGGCCTCCTTTTTTCAAATTTAAAGGTGCGTCTGCACGATACCTGTGCCCAAATGCGCCATGGTGACAAACCCAGAGGCGTCATGCCACTCTTTATTCCGAAAAGTGCCTTCAATATCCAAACCCTCGTGCCCAAATGCAGTCTGTCACATACCCAGAGGTCACTCCACCGGTTGCGTCCCCTCGATCCAATATCTCAGACCTGCGTAGCTTATAGCCTACAACGGCCCCCCGTCCATCAGCGCAAACAAGCCTGATATCTCAAAAAGCACATTTTTAAATTATTTTTCTCTCTCTTAATTTGTATTACTCACTTTGGTTCGCTGCTCTCATTTTGCACAATTTGGCTCCATTCCGTAAAAGATTATGGGACGAATGAAAAAGAGACCGCGAAAGTCACCTCCGCGTTTGTCACAGACTTTTACTTCGTAAGTTCCATCGTCTGGATTCAAATTTCAAACACGGTTCAATTCGACCGCCGAGACGAAAGCGGCGAATGAATGAATGAATGAATGAATGGATGTGCTTGTAGGCTTGTAGCGCAATTAGATAGAGCACCAGACTCGGGATTTGGGTGGTGAGAATTTCTGCGGATAACCATCTGTCCGATGTTAACCAGCTTTTTTGCCGTTAACTAACTTAACTTTGATGATTTTTATTCTGATAGAAACACGACAGTTTATCCTATGTTTTTATAGTTGTTCTGACTTGTTCAAAAAAAAAAAAAAAACGCTGAATTTTCACAAAAACTTACAATTGATAAAAAAGTGTAATCTGCCTGTTAAAGAAGCCGCAAAAAAAAACATAGTACTTATTTAGACAAACAAAAGAGTTTGTTATTACTAAACGGAGAAAAGATTGGACATTCTTCTTGTAMGTATGAATTTTTGCTCTACTATTTTTACAGCAAGACAGCTTATATAAGCCATAAAAATAATAAAATATGTGTGTTATTTCAACAGTTCATGGGTGGGGTGTACCCACCCACTGAGCTCCGCCCTTGGATTCGTTTGTAACAGACTTCCACTTCATGTGGGCACATGGGTTGTATAGCCGAGACCTACCCTTCAAAGAGCCCTCCATCACCACAAACAAGCCCAAAACCCCCAAGCACATATTATCTGTTAATTTAATAATTTTTATTACTCACCTTGTTTTACTGTTTTTTCATCCGTACACCTTGACTCCCCTTCCATCAGTGATCGCTTAGCTTGGCTTCTGATTTTGTAACACAGCAGAGTTGATGGGTAGGTACTGCCGTTCTCGTAGCACAGTACTACCCCCCCCCCC